ATTTTTCTGAGTTAAAACAAATCTTTATGTTCCATCTAAGTAAAGTCAAAGACAATCCGAAACCAATTTGTTGGATGTTGATCTGTAATGAAAATGACTTTGTAATAACAGTCTATCACTGTTTATTGACAAAAGTGTTTTACCAGAATCCCAGCATGGGCAGAGAGTCTAAAAATTGTTTCACGGAATATTTTGTTGTGTAAGTCACAAAAAAGTGACTAATGTTAGAAACCCCATAAACTTTAACCACATTTAGTGGCATTAACATGAAGAAAGAAAACTTCAGTTAAATGAAATCACTAGTTTAGGCCCAGTCTTTCTTCTAATATTGTTAGTAACTTATTGTTTACTTGTCTGCCAAATCAGTAACATACATGTTAGTGATTGTATGCGATGAGTAGAAAGCTTGGGACCCAGTTTTTGAACTTCCCACTGGTCATCGCCAGGGCATACTAGACAGATAGACAAAATCAACTTAGTACCTCATAAACAAGTGTATCGGTTGAACTTGCGATATTCCACAGTAGCATGCAAAGAAGAGGTGGATAGAATCAGTGTGATATCAAAGTAGACGAAGTTGTATGACAGAATAGGCAATTTAAAGAAAAAGATAGGGGCGATTATCCAAGCTTTAGATGATATCAAACAGTGAGTACATCTGCACCACCGCAACAAATTTTCAGCCATGTCATCAAGAGTTTGCAACCACTGTTTTCTATCATCTCGGGGACCCCAGCATCTTCCAATACGGCTCAAACCAATAGTCATGGACTCCGTATATTGGTGCCAGATCTTAGTCTGACCACCCTGAACCCTCTTCCAACCTAATTTAGTTTCCTGCAACATGGCACGTCGAGGTTAGCAGTGTCTCGATAAGCATAGCACATGCCCAAACCACCTCTGCCGATGAAGGCTCACAGCTTCGTCAATGGACTTGTCTGTCTTGCCTAGTACCCTTCGCATGACCTCAATATTGCTCACTGGATGATTCTGTCAAACGCAAGTAGTGTTGCGAAGGCATGTTTGCAACCTTAAAGGAACGTGTGTCCTGTCGGAGATCCGAACTCGTATCGCTTCCTGCTGTTGTCACAGACTTGACAAGTGAGCTGTTAAAACTTTGATTGACCTTCTAAAGGACTGGATGACACGCATTTACTGGTCACTGGAGAGAAATCAACTCCCCAAGGTCTACAGTTTTCTGCTATCGCCTTCAATCACCTAACACCTATCAAAGTGCACCATAATAATTATTCTTTTATCTACATGACCAGATTGAATGTAGACCGATAGAATCCAGTCATCACTTATGCCTGAATAACATGATCAATTAATGTACTTATGTTATGTATACAGCGGAACCGATAACAACACAATACAATACTAAGTGACATATGTGTATACACTAACAATCTAAATATTTACCATGGGACCATGAATGCTGATATGTGATTCCACTTTTGAAAGTAAAATATGAGGAACATAAAGTTATCTGGTGCAGTGAAGGTAGCTGCGATTACTTTTTATAATTAAGCGCATTATTTTTTATGCACCCAGAAAAGCGCTAACAACAATTTCCTCAAGATTATATGAATTTGTTGCATTTAATCAGTATCTTTGAAGACAGTTTCAACCTGTTTTCCTTCTTAAGTATCAAATTACAGTAGGATTTCATGTAGTTTATTCTACAGAAGGAGTTTGTTTGTTGTCTAAACAGACTAGAAGTAGTTCACTTTAAGGATAGGTTATATGACTGAAGGTATGCCTTGAGAATTGTCTATGAACTTGTAGTTTCAACTGAAGGTACTTGTTATGACGAAATCAGTTAAGAAGGCAAATACATAATGTGCAGTAAGTGGTCCTCATTTGATTACAGTTAAACTCTGATGTTCAAAGGGAAGAGAACGGAATCAAACTATGATCAAAAAATAGGAGAGTTAAAAAAAATAGTTTATCAAGGTAATAAAATGCTAAGAAGCTGGTTCTGATTATGGTTGGCTGAGAAAATCAAAAATAATATCAGAAACTTTGTATGCCCATGTTTTTGAAAGATTGTGGTGACTGCTCCTGGTTCAGTGAGATTATCCTCGTGGTCAAAACCTATTCAGTACACACTCAAAATTTCTCTCTCTGTCTTTCTTCACTATTCTCACGTAAATAATGACTCGTAATTCGGTAGTTACAATGGATAGTAATACAGTAGGCGTTGTTATACATTTTTTTATGACACTGATCAAAACAGGGAGTATAGGTTAACTATAGAATGAGTTATTTAAGTATTTAGTGCTCTGTTTATTGCTGCTTTAATGTTTTTACTCTTGAAATCAGGAGTAATAGTGACTGGCTTAGTCTTAACGTCTATTCACAGTGGTCTGCAGTATCTCTTTTTCGTTTCTACATATTTACTGATTAGTTTTTATTGTTAGTCTCCTCCTCTCAAATATTTTTACTTCAAAAATGACCTACTTTCCGAATCAGTAAACAATCTTACTTTCCATACACCCTTCAGAACAGTTTCCTGGAACTATGTTCTTCATGTGTTGCACTTCAATACAACTTAATGTCATATATACTGGGGCAGATTTTTCCTTCGCTTTCATCGCTTGTCATTAGGCTCCATTGAATAAAATAATTACGGAGAGATGATACTGAAATAAGAGTACTCTGATGGTGGCAGTGGTTAGTCTGAAATTCGTCTTTACATGTGGTCATTATGGTAAATGAATGAAGGCCATTTCATCTCCCATACTTATTCTGTAATGTTTGAGACTGGAACTAAAAAGCCTGAATTCCGGCAGAAGTTACACGGATTACAGTAGTAGTATTGTATTCGTGTAAGTAATAAGGTAATGAGCAGTTGTTGGTCGCTTTTCGTTTAGCCTGTAGGTAAATTGTTGTAAGGAGAGTATATTGAAAAGTGGGCTTAATTTTGACAATAGTTCTCCACTCAAGCAGAATCAGAATTCGAAAGAGAAAAGAAGAAAAACCTTGTACCAACAGCTGAGGAAGGATATGGAATTGACTTATTTTGAGAGTAAAAACGAGGTAGAAATGAGCTACTACTACTACTTAGTGAGAAAATAAGGTAAACTGGAAATATAGTGTGCAGGCTTTCAGAATGCGTCACACTGGAATCAACTAACAATGCTTAAATGAAACATTTATTGAAAATTTACCAAGATCATATCTAGTAAAGTTATGATAAGTCAGATACCGAGTAACTTTTATGGTCATTCTAGCAACTATTGAAATAACCACTAACTTCTCTTTATTAGAACGTTAGTTGGTTAAAGGCAATCGACAGGAAGCTGTGAACCTAGGTTTTGTGCTTGTCAGCACTCGTCAGCAAGGCATATTTGCAACCTTGAGGGAACTGCTGTCCCTTGTGAGGTTCAAAGCCGCATCACCTGGTATTTCCTTCAGCGACGTTACCACACTGAGCCCCTCGAAACACCACTGAACTCCTGTAGGACTGGTGGCCATATTATAAAATGAATAATAAAAACGTGAGATTGGTCACCCTCCAATGACCAATCAATTTATGTTCTTTATTCTCTGCAAAAGCTTTCTAACCAAAATTAAAAAAACCTGTTTGGTTATTTCAGTGGTTGCTATGGTGATTTTTATAGTCATTTCAAACACTTCTCTTGATAACTAGTTTAAGATTGTCTAAGTGGATTTAACATCAGTTGCCACATTGTCAACGCTCAAGACGAATTAAAGCAATCAAAAGATGCCAGGTAATTATACTTGAAAAATAATTCTGATGATACATTTACTGACTTATTTTCCTCTGTAAGCAAATGGATATATTTCAGTTGAGTGATTCCATTGTCATAATTGACGAAATGAAAAGATGAATTCAATTGGGCTAAAAATAACACTTTTTAAAATAATAATTTTGCTTCATTCATTTTATTCGTTCATTCAATTTTCACAATAAAGAAAGAACTGTTAACACCTTTATTTGTCGAGCAATTGTAGACAGCTCATGAGGCTGAAATGACGCTGCAAGTCTGATAAATGATAAGTCGTGACCGGTGGAGTCAAAGCCTGATGGCCGTGAGGACAGATACTCAACGATGACATCGGGTGGCGGTTTGCGCTCTATATCGTGAGCTAACAGAAGTTGGAAATATGGAGCATTGAATTCTGACCCAGTGGCTCAATGGTAACGCGCTGGCCGCGGAACCTGAAGGTCGCGGGTTCGATCCCTGCTGGTGGGGTGGTGGGTGCGCACTGTTGAGGAGTCCCATACTGGGAGGAAACAGCTGTCCAGTGCTACCAGGTTTCCTCCGAGTGATGTCAGTCTACGATGAATAACAATTTGAAATATTTCCAAATCTCCACAACCCCCTCAGAAAGTCAATTAATTGAATAATAAGTGTTCATCAATTCAATAAGAAGATATGAAAGGAAGATATTTACTGTACTGAAAAGCGTTCAAGCTTCATTTCAACTGTTGAAGGAGACATACTGATATGAAAAGGAAAAAAAGATTGATAATGTATCAGAAGTCTACATAGTCTTAGTACCTATGTACTCTGTTTTGACTGTGATTTCAACTTCAAAATTAAATGGTAAATGCACTAAAAATAGGTTGTTTTTTTTAATCAACTGACCTAGTGAAATATGAGTAGCCTCGTATTTCAAAGTACTTATAGTATTGTAGACTATGAGAATTTGTCTTGTTTACTGAACTACTGATCGAAATGTTCCGATCAACAATGCTCAGTTGACATTAGTAATATGTCTTGACTTATGAGTGTTAGTATGACTATTTTAACTTCCTAATATATATATAGTATTGAATAGAAATCGAGTCATAAATATCCCACTTCTCGCTACTTATGAGAGACGTTAGTCAATTCCGCTAACAGGAAAATATAAGGTCTAATTAATATCTTAGAAGGGAATTAAAATTGTCAAATATGTGAAAAAACTAATCACCTATAGGTAATTCATTCGTGATGTTTTCATTTTTACCATTAACGTTTTTGTAGATATGTTCTGGCTATTCGATGTATTGCCTATCCGCTACTTACGGTTAATACCATTGGACAAAATAGGCGATATCTTAGAGTTACCAAAGACTATTTGAATACACTTAAGGAACGATTTCAGGTAAGTGAATTTATTAAATGTATAAGTAGCTCGAAGTGTTTTATTGTATTTCTATTAGTTGTACATTATTTACTTTAAAAAGAATTCTTTATGCCTATCAGTAAACTGGACTATCTAAGTTTTCTTATTTCTGGTAGCGTTAAGATAGAAGAGAATGGACCACTATGGCAAACTACCAGTGATAAGACAAAACTGCATATTTGATACACAGGTGATGATTTTGTAACTATTCAATAAAGGAAATAAAAATAGATCCTTATAAAAACTCGAATATAAAAATGACCCAGAATTCTGAATTATACAGATGGGCGTTTACTGGAAATTAATTCACAGAAACAAGATTGTTCATTAAAATAGCACAACAACCAAGAAGAAACGCTGCATTATGACACAATTTAAACTAGAAATTTACTGTTAAACAAAGGAGTTAAGAGAGGTGCAGACAACCTGTTTACGTGTAATATGATAATGGAATGGCTACCGAAGAAGCATCATCAATGAATAACCAATTTACAAATGATTTACAGATTGCACAGTCCACGTTGATACTTCTCACAGCTGAGTAGTTTGTATCAACCGTCCAACTGTGATGTTAACAAAGTTTCCTCTGGAAGCCATTCAGCCAAGATTACAAGATGTGATCTGACATAAAAGTATCATGAACAGGCAAAATATGCTACTACTGAACAACTTAAGTAGTTAGAAAGCACTAAGGTAGATGTGTAGATTTCGCCAGCCAGATCACAGTGATTTGAACTCTCTACCGTGAAATCCACAGATCACCCTGAGTGTTTTTACTATCTACTCAAGTTGTTCAATAGCAATATTTTTTGGTGTTTCTTTGAAGTTCTGGAGATTCATCAGTCAACTGTATTAAATGCAAGCATCATTTTTCCTCATGTCAACATTCACAATGTCACTATGTCAGGCTATTTTAAGTGTATGTTAAAAAAATACAAGAACTCTGAAGTATTCTACCTTGTGAAAAAGATCAAGTAAATAAGGAATAAAAGTTAGGGATGATACCCTAACTCATTTGCAAGAGTCAAATAAACCATTTGGTTGGTTGATAATATAGCATCACGACATGATACTACCCAATTCACAATACACCAACTGATATAGTCGTTTTTTAACATGATAGTTACCTGAGAAGATCGATTTACAGAAAACAAACCTGAAATTGTCAATTTAATCATTTCCAAAGCTCAATTCCACTAATCAGCAAAAAGAATCTCACTCACTCATCATGCACTCAAATTAGAAGAATTTGTGTGGATGATACAGTGAATGAGGAACTGGAAGTACTCCGAACAGTGTTCATCAACAATGCTTATCCTTCAAGATTCATTGAGAGGAACATTGAACTTGAGCATTTCAAAAGAACAATCTCCTACAGTTCCAACAAAGACATGACTTATTGATATTGGATTTAAAGGAGATAAGTTGGCAGAGATCCTGAAGAGTGGACTATGCAAAGGCTGATGAAGACCTTCTTTTCCATCCAACCTTGGATTATTTTCTCTAGTTAAGAATAGATTTGAGGATGTGTAATGGATAAAGTACCACTTTGAGCCACTTGCATATGTGTTTAACGATTCATTTGTTCTTGAGAGGCTGGTTACGTATGTCGTACAAAGCGTGTTGTGTACAAACGCATTTTAGAACACTATCCTGAATGTCCAGACCGTTATCTAGTGCGGGGAACCTTCAAAATCAAGTTAAAAGCCTTCAAAAAGTTGATGATAGACCACAGTTCAACACCCAGAGCAGAAAGTTATGGACGAAACTACAAATGACATCTTCTCGTCAGCCATCACGACAAAATGGGAGACATTGAGCAACATTCCTGAACTGAAGGAACCTGCGTAGAAGAACACTGGGACTCTTCGAAAGTGATGTGGAAAGAAACCTGCATAAATGCATTAAGAAGGAAGAGGGAACAAGACAAGCAATGGATTTCGATGCATTCATGGAAGCTGATAGAGAAGGGAAAGGAAGATGGTGAAGCAGAACATGAACCAGTGCAAGGTTGAATGACGAAAAGAGGAACTGAGTACAATGTATAAAACACTACATTGGACAAAGAAGTCAGGAAGAGTGCACGCAAAGACAAAAGACACTACTACGACACACCTGCAAGTGAAGCAGAACAGGCTGCAGGTAGGAGAGACCTGACAACACTGTATCAACTAACCAGGTTACTACCTGGGAGGGAAGAGATCAACACAGATGAAACCAATAAAAGTTGATGAAGAAAGTCTAATTACCAAAGGAGAGAAATAAAAGAAACGATGAGCTGACCACTTCAAACGGCTGTTGGATCGACCACCACCAACACCTGCAACCCGTCCAGAAATACCACCAGCAGCCCAGCTACAGAATTACCAGTGAACACAAACCCTCCGACAAAAACAGAAGTGATGTCCAGAACGCCATGAAACTGCTGATTTACGGGAAAGCAGCAGGACCATATGGAATTCCGCCAGAAACACTGAGAACAGACTCAGAGACAACAGCGGACATGCTCACATCACTATTGCAGAAGGTTTGGAAGGAAGGAAGGAAAGGTACCTGCCTATTGATTGGAAGTAGGACTATCTTGTCAAACTTGCAAAGAAGGAAGACCTTAGTCTTTACAAGAACTGGTGCAGAATCATGTTCCTGTCCATCCGGAGCAAAATATTAAGCCGCATCATGCTGGAGAGACTGAAGGATGATCTGGATTCAAGATTACGACCGGAACAGGCTGGCTGGCTGTATTCAGTAAGAAAAAGTCATGTGCAGATCAAACAGCAACACTACGCTACGCATCATCATAGAACATGTATCGAATGGTAGTCGACTCTCTATCTCAACTTTATCGACTTTGAGTAGGCCTTCGACAGCGTCGATCGAGAGGTAATTTGACAGTTGCTTCAACACCACGGAGTGCCCCTAGTCTTTATCAACCTCATTCAACAGCAGCTATATGAAAACGCCATATGCCAAGTAATTCACAATGCGCAGCTCAGTGACGCATTTGAAGTGAAGACAGGAGTAAGACAAGGCTACCACCTACTGTCACCGACGACCTTTTTGAATGTGGTGGACTGGATCATGCAGTAAACTGTGAGAAGCGAGAAGATGGGGATACGCTGGACCGATGAGGAGACTCTAGAAAATTTAGATTTTGCCCATTATGATGCTTTATATCTAATGCCTTGTCGCACAAACTGGAAGATCTACAGGCAAAAACTAAGAAGTTGACAGAAGAGGCTGGGCAGGCAGCGTAGACGGGACTTCAAGTTAATGTGGAGAAGACGGAGGTGATGAATATACTCAACGAGTAACATCATGAACAACAAGCACCAATCACCATTAACGGGAGAGTCCTAAAGGAAGTAGTCTCTTTCACCTACCTAGACAGGCAGCATCATTTCAAATACAGGCGGTGGTACAGACTAGTATATCAAAACCAGGATCGGAAAAGCAAGACGAGCTTCCATTAGTCTGAAATCAGTGTGAAGATCTACTGCACTCCGCTCAGCATAATGAACAAGATCCGGATTTTGAGTCAAGTCAGTGCTTCTATGTGGTTCAGAAACTTGGCGTATCACAAAGAGATTTTCCAACAAAGTATGGACATTGGTCAACAGCTGCCTACGCTGGCTTGATACTGAAGATCACATGGATAGCCACGAAGAATAAGCAACGAGGGGCTTTTGTCTGGCCACGAACCAACGAAGAACCTATCACCCAACAAATATGCCCTGGAAGAAAGTGGAGATGGATTGGTCACACACTGAGAAGACCGACTGGGGACATTACGTCCCAGGTCGGGTCATCGAGTAGAATCCAAACGGGGAACGACTGGTTGGGCGTCCGAGGTGAGGATGACATGAAGGAGATCATGTGAAGAAGAAATGAAAGCTTGTGGGCAGTCGTAATACCAAGTTTAAAAATACTGCAGAGGAGGGAGTGAAATGGAGGCTCAATACTGAAGCGGTATGTTCCACTAGGAGCCCAAGGGAAAAATAATAGTAATAATAATCTTACATGACTGTCTAAAAGACAATATCAAGACATAAAACGCTGTATTCTCCAGCATTTGATCACGGTGCTACACGAGACTTTTCTTTCAAAGTCATTTATGAAGTAAATTCAAATATTTTTTCGAACAGAATTCATATTCTTCACATTATACGAGAGGCTTTGCCAATCTAGCGGTACAGGCCTGATCTTCATGTTAAAAAGAGATACGTGCAATCTCTAATTTTGGCTCAGTCGTAATACACTTGTTTATTTTCTATAGTCCTATAAGTAATTTTTGATGACCTTGACTTTCGAGCTGTTATTACATTGTGAGTCTGTTGACCTATTCGATGACCCTGTGGTGACCATCTAGCTATCTATGGACGCATATATTGTGTTGTAAGTATGATTACGTTTGTATATAACTTTTGAAAATGCTTCACTGATAAAGAAAGTATGAAGAGTAAAATGTCGTTCTTGAAGTGATGATCATGATGTTAATGTCCCTACTTTTGTCCGAACATCTTAAATTTTCACGTTTTAAAGGTCGAGCTCCTCAGATTTCTATGATATTATACTTGTCCCCGTTCACTGTATGATACTACATCATCACGATTAATTGGTTGGATCTCAAAAAAGTGTTTTATTATTCTATCTGACCCCAAGAACGTGCTATGAAACAACAGATTTTTGACATCTATCGAAATCATTGATGACGAAAAACAGTATTATTCTATTTTCGCATCTCTTGACAATGAGCAGTTAAAGAATAGACATCAAAGTGTGGATAACATAGAACAATTATTTTGGCCATCTTTATATGTTAAGACTATGTTTCTTTAATATGTACTTAAAAGTTGTGGATTATGATAGACTGTAATCCAATTATTAGTTGATTTATTAGATGTATGAGACAGTGGAACGGTTTACCATACTGGGTCAACTTACGGACACATTTCAGTGTCGTATCAAGATAACACTGCAATATACTTTATGTAGTTTTAATTTTCTCATCTTCTTTGTGATATATGTGGTAGTATTTTCCAGATATACAAAATAGGTACTGAGTTAAATACTTGTAACAAGAATGAAAATGTCCACAATATACTAGTGGAGAGTTGAATATTCCGCCCTACTTATACTAACACAAATTCTCCTAATCAATGAATACTTAGTAAGTTATAAGCTGGAGAGTGAACATTTTGCATAAATGAGTTCTTTTCTATGATAATTTCTTTTTTCTAAAATTTCTGTCTTACTCTTTAAAGCTGTATTTACGAGGTGAACTACCTATCAATAGTGATGAAACATTTCATACTGCTGTCAGTGAATTCTATGAAGCTGTTCTAAAAAGTGATCGTATTTCAAATATGGTAAAATCAGGAAGCTGTTCTATGTACGATATTCGAGAGATATTTATTACAAATATTGAAAAGCAAGTAAGTTTGCTTCTCTGCGCCATGTGCTTATTTGTCCAGTAGATAATGAGCCACACGTATTATATGAAGATTAATGATACTACCTGGCTATCCAAACCTTGATAGGTGGAGTTGTGTTTGAACCCACGGCTGCTATTTGAAAGTCTGTTCCCTAAACCAATGAGCTACAACTCCACCCCATAGTGACAGATATATTGTGCATGTCTTTATCTTTATACAAGAAGGGCAGTCAAACAATTGAATGTTACTGTAACTGTCAAGTCAAATGACATAACACTTCAGTAGAATCTAAACAACTATGACATTAGTTTTCCTGAGTTAAACAGTGCGTAGTGACTACAATATCGTACACGTACCTTATGGGAACTTCATTTTCATATGAATGAACTAGGTAGGAAATGAAACACTTCTGGCCACTATAAAAATTCCTGCTTTTTTTTAATAATGTTTGTTTTTTATCTATAAGCTCTTACAAAATGTAGTTATATAAAATTTATAATTGTTTTGTCTAATTTTGTGGTTTGTAAAAATTCATTGATAGTTTTTTGCAAAGACTTTTTGACATAATTTACCAAGAGAACACTGAGTGTGTTGTGTACGTTGTTGAAATGTGTCTATTGTCCATGAAGCTTTTTAGACTATCTAACATAAGTGTGGTATGGGGTTGATTTGTGCTTATGTAATGATCTATTGGTAGGTGCAACTACCACAACTGATACCGATGCCAAACTGGTGACTGAACAAAAATTCTTTATCAACGACACAGGCTGATAATTGTTATTCAGCGAAGAATTACCAGTTAAACTTAGTTTTCTCTGATGGATCTCATCAACTGTTACTAAGGGATACAAACCCAGACCTAGATTGATTCAGTAAAGTATAATCCTTGGACAGATTATTGTTTTTTATTGACGAGTTCTGATGATTAATTATTCTTATTCTACATGATGTAAGTTCAGAAATACCTAATTAGGTTAAAGTGACAAGTGAACAAATTGGACTACGAAGGGAAAATGTTCGGAGCCACGTTTTTACTACCATCCCGAAAACGTTGGACAATGAAATCAGTGATTTGTTGTATGGATTGTGCACTACCACCGGTGATCGCAGTTATCACAAAACACAACTGACAAAAATCAACGTAGAACCTGGTACATAGGTACATTGGCTCAAGTTACCAAACCTTTTCAACGGCAAGATGTGCAAACAGATGAAAGGAACTCCAATGGGATCACCGATATCCGGACGAATTGCAGAAGCAGTGATGCAGAGACTGAAAGCCATCATTCTACCTGTGATTAAACCAAAAATTTGGATTCGTTATGTAGACGACACTTTTGTCATCATTAAGAACGATGATATAGAAAACACCCACAGTTTGATCAACAACGTTTTCAATGACATCAAATTCACAGTGGAGAAGGAGTCAAAAAACCAACTACCATTTCTGGATGTTTTAGTCAGTTGAACAAATGCCGAGAGCTGGAAAGTGTACAGGAAGCCAACACACACTGACCAACTCCTCAACTACATTGGCAACAACCAAACAACGCACAAGATCGGTTGTGTGCAGACTCTATTCAAAAGAGCAAGAACACACTGCACTACGGTACAACAACTTCATGGAAAAACGAAGAAAATTACTTGATGTCCATCCTATAGAAGAACCGTTACCCACGAAACTTTATCAGAAGATACCTACCCCGTGCATCACCAACTACAAAGTCATCGACAGAAATCAATAGACCCATAGTCCTACCATACATAAAGAATATATCAGAAAACACAACAACATTGCTGAGACCACTTGCTGTGGCTCATAAACCAACAAATTCCCTCCAAACACTATTATGCAGACCAAAGGATGCAACAAACAAAGAAGATAAACCGAATATCATTTAGAAAATCAACTGCAATAACTGTAGTCAACACTACATTGGACAAAGTGGTCTCCCTCTTCACCTTCGTCTACATGAGCACCAATTGGCTATTAAACGCCACGACATTTCATCACTCATTTCAATGCATGTGGATAACAACGATGGACATGAATTCAATTTCGTTAATGCAGAAATTTGGACAGAGGAAACACAAGAAATATCAGAGAAGTCTTAGAAGCTTGACATTCAGGTCAGTCAGTCAGCAATCAACAGATGTGTAGATATAGACCCGATCTATCAACCAATATGAAAGACGATAAACGACAGAAAGGTGAGAGGTGAGCAGAGGACAGCCAACAGGAAATCTATATTATCAATGACACAACAATCAAAGGAAACAACCAACCATAGACCACTTCGTCAAGCAAGCTACTAAATTACTGACGGAGGGATATTGACAACTCACTTCATACTGAAGTTAGTGCTGATGATGTCGTCTAGAAGGACGATGTAGGCTTCATGATTAAACAACCCAGCTCAGAGAGCACAATACAAACAAAACCATCCACCAGAGCTACAAATATTCTCCACTATTTCAATGATAATAATAATAGCTTTAGTGCAAACAACAGCTGTGATACAGTTTGGAACTCTCAACATGTAATAATTTAGCATATTCATTCCCTGTACAATATCTTTAAGTAATCATTGGATTTGAATAATGTTAATAATAACAGTAATAAAAGTCACAATGTGAAGCAGGCTGTTGGTAATACATTTGACTGGTGAATGAATATAATATCGAGCTTAATTTGGTGGTGGCAGTTTATTCAACCAGCAGCAAAATATATATTTCGACATAGTTATCCAGAGAATAGTACACTGTATTCCTGTGGAGTTATAAGTCCATTTTTTACCGGTGTATCGTTTATTCCTTGTTTTGTTGTTATCATGGAAACACCAGTTTGAAACCATTTTAAGAGTACTCATCAGTACATGAAGCGTTTAAAAGATTAAAACAGATTGAAAGAGAAGAATTTGCTGAAATATATTTAGTGGAAAATTTTCAGTCACCCAAAGTTTAAGCAAGCCGTGGTACACAAATAACAAGTGGTTAGAAAAAGAGTGATATCAAAATAGATAAAGTTGTGTGACAGAATAAAAAATTTGAAGATGAAGGTTAGTGAAAATATTCAAGCTTTAGAAGTTGACAAAGAGTGTGTACATGTGTACTATTGTGACCGACATCTAGCCATGTCGCCAAGAGTCCCCAACCACTGATCCTTTTCATCTTGGGGACCGCAACCAAGTAGTCTAAATCGTCCCATACGTCTCACATCGAGAGTTAGAGACTTCATTGATTGGTGCCAGGTCTTGGTTTGGCCACTCTGACCATCTTTCAACTTAATCCATCTTCCTCTACCAAAATGGCACATTGAAGTAAGAGGTGACTTAGTATCCACAGTATATGGCAAAGCTATCTCAAACGCCTAAGCTTCACAACATCATCGTAGTTATTTAAAAAGCAGTCATTAGTTTTGGTTTCTGTATTATCATCACTGCTTTTAGTGATAACATGAAAAATATTTTATGTCTTCTTGTTTCCCAGTCTTCATCTGTTACCTCTCATTACTTTTGGTAGGATAGAATGAACAGTTTAGTTTAAACTAATATGAAAAGAATCGCTAAGGTGGTATCCTTTTTGGTTTATTTTGCCAGTTAAGTTTAGTTCAGATGAAAGTATTGAACTTGGACTTAATTTTCTTTCAAGCTCTTATCATTTAAGCAGTACCCAGAAACCTGGAATTATTGGGAAATTTCTGATTCCCGGAGTAGGAATACTCAGTGGTGATCAAAAGTGTAGCCGTTAACCTTCATTTTGAGAAAGTTAAGGGGTTATCTTGTTGATCAATGAAGTTGACAACATCAGTTAAAGGCCTAACTTATTCTGTCTGCAGCCTAAGATAGGTTCTTACTATAGGCTTTTATTGTGGTCTACAATGTGAAGGGAAAAAAAAATCAAAGTAAAAAGTAGTTCTGAATATCTGCTAGGTAGACATCAGCCTGTTCGGTACTTAATGCATTCCCTGTTACTTAGTTTTCCTTCACTGCTGTCTAACGTCTTCTCATTCCCACTCAAGAGAGTTAAGAATTACATACGTATTGTGTGTGCTGTTGACAAGAATGTGATTATTATAAACTGTGACATCTTTGATAGGAATCACAAGAGCAGATAATCGGCTGGCATCAGTTCTGTCAACAAAAAAGGGGGGATATTGGTTAACAGTATGGAAGGTAAGAAGGTAATCTTCACATAAATGGCATTCATCATATAGTGGTTGTGTTATTTTATCAGTAGCTTGGTAATACACGGCGGTTAAAGGTGCCTACCGTTCTTGTATTCATCACAACTATTATTTTGTAATCGTAAACATAAGTAATATGTAAGTTTGAAATGCGGCATGTAACGTGAGTTAAATTTTAACGAATGCCCTACAGACTACAGAGCTAAACTATTGAACAGACTTAGTGTTATTGCTAGCCACTACCAATCATTACTATACCGATTAAACAGACTGCTTTCTTATCCTAATCACTATATGTTTCATTCAAGTATCGGGTCACTTAGAAGCATACAATTGTTCACATTTGATAATACTCAGATGCACAACATAGATCTTTTCTTCATATTCCATTCAGACCAAGATTAGATGAGAGTAGAATTCTTTATAACGATGCAGTGAGAGAAACGTATGAATTTTAGATAAGTATGATTTGGTTGAATTATTTCATTTATTTAAAAAATGGTTTACTGAATACTTTTTTTATAGTATTCTTATACAGCTGTGTTCATAAGCTCCTTAATGATAAACTTCTTAATCATTCCGTAATAATTATTATGCTGTCCATCGTTTTCAAAATTTTCATATTATTTCAAGTACACTATTATGTTTCATGGGAACGAAATCATTTATTTCATTTACATAATCTGTTGTAAGTTTCGAGATTGCGATTCAGTTGGCAAACGAAGTTTTAATGAAGATAATGAATATATATCTTGTCTTTTGTTCGATGTCGACTGGAAGGGGGAAACAGTGACTACTTAACAAAGTAAGAAGTATGTATGCAATTATTCACTAGTTCAGACAGAATTATAAGCGAAATTAAATATGACTTGAAGTTTTTAACAGAAACAACTGATGAGTTATAATTCTCAGAACATAAAGTATCTAAACCAATAAGCCAATATACTCAAAATTTCACCTCAGAATAAACCCACAGACAATTTATAATTACTTTTATTAGTTTCAGGGTGTTCAACCTATTGAAGGTTTATCCAAAGAAAGTGTTCTAAGTTCATGGAAGATAAAATTTGATCAAATATGTCGTGGTGGTGAAGGGCCGTGTCCAGAAGCAATGAAATTAGCTGTACCTCAACCGGAACCTGTAGCATTATCCAATGAACAACTATATGAGTTATTAATGCGTACACTGTCAGTTGAAAAATATGAACATCAAGTATTATATAATGCATGTCAAGTAGGTGAATTTTACAGAATTTCGATACACTGCACACTGAATAGCATTAAATATTTTTGGACTTTAAAGTGTAATTTTGTCGGTATTACGAAGTTATTATTACTTGATGCGAAGCATTTCTTACGTCAGATGAATCCAGGAAGTCAGAAACAAACTTTCGCTTTTTGGTTGATTGTGGTCTTAGTTAGTGATTTTTCGAAACAGTGAAAGATTATGAATCTCTTGGAAGTTGCACAATTGATCAGTAGTCATTACGAAAAAGCATGAAACATAAAGCGGTCCCGAGTTCGAGTCTTAGTGGGAACAACATCACTCACCGGGGTGCAGGTGCATCCAGCTGACGAGTCCCAAATAAGACAAAACACGTTTCCTGGATTTCACTACTAGCCACTATCCATCAATAATACAGGTCAAGAAATTTTACGAAACAAGTTTCAAAATATCTGTGCAGTATTCTAATCTGTCAGAGGTTTTGATATTTGTTATATTCTTGTACTGACTAATTGATGTGGCTTGTTATATATATATATATATATATATATATATATATATATATATATATATATATAAAGTTGGGGTAGAGAGTTGCTATTCTGCCATTCTACGCTCTGTTCTATGATAATGCATAGCGTTGCATTTTGGTCCGCACATGATTTGTACTTCCTGAATTTAGCCAGCTGTTTCGGTCGTAATTTTGAATCCAGCTCATCATTCAGTCTCTCCAGGATGATGCGGCTTAATATTTTGCTTGGAGTGGACAGGAACATGATTCCGTGCCAGTTCTTGAGAAGACTTAGGTCTCCCTTCTTTGGAAGTTTGACAAGGTAGCCCTTCTTCCACTCGTCAGGTGAAGGTGAAAGAGGGGTTATAATGAATGTGATAATGGAAAACCGATCAGTCCTTGTATGAGACTGAAGAGCAGCATTCACTCATGTTTCCTTGCTAGATTAAGGCTAGCACCAAACGGTTTCACGGTGCATCTCCTTACTGAGACGAAAAGTTGCATCAACTTCGAAATCTATAAATTAGAGTTATATGGTTTTTTACTGAACTATACTCAGAAGACGTGTATGTTTAAGTACTTCGCCTGACCGAATTACTTTTTGATTTATTCAAAATTTAGTCTTAAACTGTCTAACAGTTCTTTAACTGGTACTAAGGTTGCTACAGATGACAATTTTATCTTCCCCTAATTTGTTTCCGAAGACACTCCGGGATATTCATCATCTTGGAATAGCTAGTTAAAAAAAACTGAAATTTCGTAGTGTAGTCTTCAACTTTGTGCACATCTATGCAGTAGATAATAAGCCACACCTATTTCGTTGAAGGCTAATTATACTGTCTGGTTGCTCAAACCTCGGTAGGTGGAGCGAGGCTGTAATCTGTGACCCATATGTTGGAAGTCATCTCCCTAAAGCAGTGAGTCACAGCTCTATGGATCGCCTAGTAACAAGGAGTCGAAGGGGTTATTTCAGTCTTTGTCAACCTAAACCACTTGTGGGATCAGTGAGTTATCTGGAAATCCATCAACGATTGTCTAGTATACAACACTTTACTATATTATAATACATGATTATGAAAGTTAGGGGTGTCAGAATGCTAAACACACTTTCCACAACTTCCTGCAAGATGTTGCTATCATGTAGTGGAAGCATATAGTGACTATTACAAAGTATAAACAGAGTTATAGGTTTTATTGATGGCATTATACTGCATTATACTTAAAAAGAAGAGGATGATGAAACAACCATTGCATAAGCCAGTGAGGTTAACTGCTAATTTGATCGATGTAGAGCACAGTAAGTTCCTACAATATGAACTGTGTGACGGAAAAAACTTGCAGTTTAGAAGTTTACATGCCCTGACTAAACATTGGTCGTTACAGTACACAATGCTTTAATTTATTATTATTCATAATGACTAACCTGGTGACAGTTTGGAATTTCACACACAGTCATAATAGAAAGATTATTTGTTCCTCCAACTGATGTCAGTCTTCGATGAATAACAACTTGAAATATTTCCAAATCTCCACAACCCCCTCAAAATTTAATTGAACTAGTGCTCGTTGGTGACTAGCTTCGAGAAGTATTCCCGAAGTTCCAATGAGAAGTCGTGACCGGTGGAGTCAAAGCCTGATGGCCGTGAGGACAGATACTCAACGATGACATCGGGTGGCGGTTTGCGCTATATCGTGAGCTAACAGAAGTTGGAAATATGGAGCACTGGATTCTGCCGAGCCAGTGGCTCATTGGTAACGCGCTGGTAGCAGAACCTGAAGGTCGCGGGTTCGATCCCTGCTGGTGGGGTGGTGGGTGCGCACTGCTGAGGAGTCCCATACTAGGACGAAACAGCTGTCCAGTGCTGCCAGGTTTCCATTGTTCCTATAACTGATGTCAGTCTTCCATGAATAACAACTTGAAAGATTATTTTATTTAAGAGTAGATCATATCTTTAGCTGTAATCACCTGAATACGTAAGTGACTTACTTTAGTCGTAGGTATGAGTGTTTTAACTTATCGAAATCAACGAAATGATTGTTAATTTGATAATTTTAAACAATTCTACTCACTGTCATCTAATTAGTAGTACGAAAGTTTTACTTAATTATTCTAGACAATAAATAAAAACAAAATTATTTCTCTTACGTAATTTATAGCTGGATAATGTTGATGAACAAGCTTCTCAGATCAAACGTGAGCTATCAGAACGCTTGGTACAGATTGACAAAATGTTGAAAGTAAGGCGAACTCATTCTGTTTTTATTCTATTTAAATATTTTTGAGTCGAACATATTTTGCCATCTTTTGTCCATTTTTTGTCAAATTTCAACTGAAACAATCGATAAACCCTAGGTAGAAAAGTAGTACTTGCTTTTTACTATAAATATCTGTCCGTAAAGTTGCTTGTCAGTTTGACTATTTGAAATAGCTGTGATTTGGTGGACTTGTAATATTGATAATGAGTGATGATTGAAGGTGAAATACCTTGATCCACATTTAAATTTTGCCTTCAGTCATCGCCACCCAATATCACTAAAATTTCTGTTGATAAGTATCAGTAACTTATGACCTTCGTTTTGTGTCCTGCACACCTCATTTGATCACTCTTACAACGACAGTCTTTCACATCAGTGACAGCTGTTGAAATGAACGGGTTGCCAAGGTGGAGAGAGGTTGATCACAGTTTTTTCTGAACACATATTCAGGTTCAAGGTATTTGATGAGTAGAGCCTCAGTAACATTTGGGAGACGTGAGTCTGCCTGTTTAATAATAATAATAATAATAATAATAATAATAATAATAATAATAATAGCTTTATTCCAAACAATGTTTAATACAGTATGGAATTCTTAGCATGTAATGATTTAACAAATTTACCTCCAAAATAATATTTTCAAATAAAGTGATGACTGCAGCTGAATGATGTTCATAATAACAGAATAAGAGGTCATAATGTTAAGAAAACGGTTTGTGCTGGATTAGCCTACGGTGTTTAGCAGTGGTGATTCATTCATCCAGTAAAAGAATGTCCTATTCGAGATGGGTATCTAAAGAAAAGAATTATGATGTATTTTCATGCATTCAAAGTCCGTTTCCGTCTAGTGTGACATTTGCCGTTCGTTTTGTTATTACTTCGAGAAATGACTACTTCAGAACATCCTAAAAATCTGCAAGAGTATGTGAGACTTTTTGAAGTCATAAATGATAGATTAAAATAAATTGAAGGGGAGGGATTTGATATGATATATGTGGTGGAAAATTTCATTGGTAGCCAAACATTCAAGCCTTTGTTTGTTTATCACCTTCAAAGAATCGAAGATGTTTATCTGCAATCCTATGTCAATCAGATGTCAAGTTACTTCCCTGTTCAGAATGGTACAAGTAACTGACTGAGTCACAGGCTTTATATTGAGTAAAGTAGTTTACAATTAAGTAACTTTTTAACTAAACAGAAAGTGTTTAAAGGCGGTTACAAAATAAGCGCCTCAGGGAAAGTATCTTCAGGCGATGGAACAAAATCCTCTAAAAGGCGGTTGAGCTCCTTACTTTATTTCTCTTCACATTTCACCTTGACGAACACAAAGGCTTCGTCTCCAGACTACATAACGTCGTCGTCAGTAATAAACTTATTATGTTTACATGTTTTCTATAGGAAGTCTAACTAGACAAAAGAAGAACTGGGTTTATAGACTATCCTAACAAGTAAATCTACTTTATTTATGAAGTCTTCCATCTATGTTAACATTGCACTGAAAGTGATGTTTTTGAACATATTCTAAACTAAATAAAAAATTACATTGGTGTCATTATTTTGAGTGGGATGATATTTTCCTGGTATGTATCTGCGCTTACTTTAGAGTGGCGTTTAAAGTTATCTGTTTAGTTACTGGAGTGACATTTGAATTCACTAGTGTTTTTAATGGTGGTTAAAAAAGTCATTTTGAATCTAAGTACTTAATGCTGGTTTCTACTTGACGTTATATCTATTGAAATGTAGGATTTTGTAGTCTGAAAACAAGCATTTTTGCTTATGTTACCGTATCGATGAGTTTGCATTCTCGATTATTGTTGTATCTTGTATTCAATTCGTATTATGAATAACACTTGATATGGTTCAGATAAATTTAAAAATTACCTTAAGTTAAAAGATCAAGAATTGGTTCATTAGGTTTTCTATCAGCCATAAAAACACATTTAAAAAACTGTATGAATGACTACACTAAACATACGATCAACTGGCTCTTATTTATGCTGAAGAAATTCTTGAAGAGTTTTGCTTTGAGAAAATTTATTTTTGAGGGAGTTGCGGGGATTTGGAAATATTTCAAGTTGTTATTCATTGTAGACTGACATCATTCGGAGGAAACCTGGTAGCACTGGACAGCTGTTTCGTCCTAGTATGAGACTCTTTAGCAGTGCGCACCCACGACACCGCACCACCAGGGATCGAACCCGCGACCTTGAGGTTCCGCGACCAGCACGTTATCATTGAGCCACTGGGTCAGAATCCAATGCTCTATATTTCCCACTTCTGGGCGTGAGGACAGTTACTCAACTATGACATCGGGTGGCGGTTGCACTATATAGTGAGCTAACAGAAGTGGGAAATATGGAGCATTGGATTCTGACCCAGTGGCTCAATGATAACGTGCTGGCCGTGGAACCTGAAGGTCGTGGATTCGATCCCTGGTGGTGCGGTGTCGTGGGTGCACACTGCTAAGGAGTCTCGTACTAGGACGAAACAGCTGTTCAGTGCTACCAGGTTTCCATTATACCTCTAACTGATGTCAGTCTTCGATGAATAACAACGTGAAAATTTATTTTTGTTTTCACTCATTTCATCACTGACCAACTTACGTGAAAACGAACTGTATAAAAATCTCAAATGAAAGGCTGAAACGAGGAACGAACATGAAAGAAACAACAAGGTTTAAAGAACACATAAACTCATCAGTTCAATACTCTAATTGCACAAGTATGTGTGCCACAGCTTGATAATTACAAACTACAAGTGAAGGTAATTAAAAATGTACCATATTGTATAATAGAACACGAAAGAACTAGTCAGTATTTGAAAAGTCGGTAGAAATTTCGAGCTGCTTATGCTAAAGGTGAACCAAGTAGCGTAGAAACTAGGGTAACATGAAATGTTTATGAATATGTGTAGTTGAAAAAACTTGATATAGCGAAATAATTCTTTTAAAAAAACTGGTTTCATAAGATTAAACTAAAAAACGAATATTCTGCCTACTTCTCTTGACTGAATACATAATCGTCTCTTGAAGCTTTGGGTCACTAATACTTGCATTCTTCATCCATATTACATTCTCACTTCTTTTGCACAAGCGTTTACTGGGGTATAAGTGGTGTCTTCAGCCTTACAGGAGAAGGTATACCTCAAAATATAAATTTATAAGGCTCTATAGACCACTAAATATACAGTGATAAATGAACTTACAATCAAGGCAATTTTACGATTAGGAAATGAACAGCATTAAAATATTTTAGTTGATAAAATTATAGTACTTAATTCTTGGTAATGCAGAAAATGGTTCATTAAAAAAATGAGTAAGATTTTTGTCGGTTATCAATAATCCAAGTTTTTGTAGTCTGTCAAAGAGTAATCATTATTTTATTTCATGTAGAGTAAACAATGTTTATGCAAACGATTTTTTTATGAATCAATAAACTATTGATGTACGAGGTGGATGTGAGACTAAAACTGATTCGTTTGGTATTTCAGTAAGTGATATAGGCATAAATCACTGATGAACTGAGCTACATACGAGCAAAACGATCGTTCGGTATTGAGATCACATTGGTTTGATTGGCGAACAATGTTGATCGATGTGAGTAGTCTGCAGCTACTCAGGTCGATCAGTAATACCTTTCATGCAGCTTTCATACTCGCGATGTTGACTGTGTTTATGTGGTTGAGATGAAACCACTGTCTTCATGATCAATCGCGTTGACATTACCATAGAATCAATATGGACTAAGTTATCTAAAAATTCCCTTTTTACATTCGCTATTTTCATAACAGACAAGAAGGACAGAGAGCGATCATTCTTAACTGTAAACAGTCATGTTTTCTACAATAACCAATCTTATTTTCTTAGGTTTATCCATTTGCAGCGAAGTTTGGTCAAACAAAACTTATCAAGATTATTCAAGACTGGAAGAAGTTACTCTCCTTCCGTCGCTGTTGTTTGTAAACTTTGAGTGAAATGATGCAAAATAGATTTAAGGATACTCAGATACTTCAATAGTAAACGTCTACTTTATCATTAATTTGCTTTTTGATGGTGTTGTGTTCCCTGAGCTGAATAGTCTAGTCATGAAGCTCTCACTATCAGTCTAGACAACATCATCAGGATAAACTTCGGAAAGAAATGAGCTACCAGGTTTTCTCCACAATTAGCGTAGGAACTTGTCCTGGTGGCCTTGTGTGTGATTGGTTCTTTCTGCCAAAGTCTTGCCACTGTCTCCACAATTATTTTCATTGGTTGTCCTGCTGTGGGGAACTTTGATCTTCCTATTCTTTCTCATTGATTGATAGACTAAGTCAATGTCAATATATCTGTTGATCGCTAACTGACGTGAATGACGAAATTCCTCTGATATTCTTTGTATTTCCTGTATCCATGATTTACATATTTCCCCATTCTAATTCATATCCACAGTTTTCTGTATGCATTGATATGGGTGAAGATATGTTATGACGCTTCTCTGCTAGTTGCTAGTCATAAAGATGGATACGAAGAGGGGGACAGCTCTTTTCGATGGAATTTTTTGCAGTTTCTGAAGTATATTTTGTAGATAATGTTTGGTTTGTCTGCTTTTGGTATTGTATCTTATGATCTGCATACCAGAGAGTGAAGAGGTGTTGTGGACTTGTGAGCTGCAGTAATTTCAAAAGGCTTCAATGATATAGTCGTGATCCCGGAGACGTTCTTCATCTAAGGTAAGATAATGAATTTGTTGGTTTCTGGAGATGACTTCGTGGTTGACGATAAATTATGCAAACATCTTTTGATGAAATTGCGTGGATAACTGTTGTTCTAGAAAACAGTCATAAACTAATTTTCTACACTTATTTATTTTCTTTTCAATGCATAAGGAACGTTCATTTCCTAAAATGGTGCATAAAGAAATGGAGATGCAGTACATTGAAGAAGAAAAACTCAGAGTGAACGGATTAATGCGACGCTTGGATTCAATCCCTGTAATTAAAACATATTCAACTGGAGTGAATCCAGTTCACAGACGATTGAGAAAGCATCCTATTCGAAATATTTTGGCAAACTGGCATGGCAGTGATACACGATGTAACAGACCTGATCATGATACTGCTTTTACATCTGATCTATGGTCCAGACAGTTGGAATTAGGTTCATCAAGATCATCCTTATCACTGACAGATGATATTCATTCACTTAATGAAAGTATATTATCCTCGTCAATGTTGCCTAATCATGAGATTTCAAGGGAAGCTTTACAAGTTTGTTCAACAATTGAGGTGAGTAGTCACACTACATTAAACACGTTCTATCATTGAATGTGATGTTATTTTCTAATTCAAAATGGGACAGATGCGCCCTTTGTGTCAAGACATAAATTACAATGATCTTTATTCAGTATTTATGAACAGCGAATACAGTAAGCTCAAGCAGGTGTAGTGGAGTTTCAATTCATAACGTCATGAATGTAAAACTGAATAGTGTAAAATAAAATCATACTTTGAAAACTATTTCAACTAATTTAGATGCTTGAAAAAAATTTAATTCATTAACTAATTGAATATAAAGTACCGATTTCAAGATCATTTCTTACTCGACTATTTATCATATATTTTATCACGAAAAATGTGGGTTCTAGACACTTCCTAAAAACAAATTGAGAACTTTTCACTGATGAGTTTTACTAAGCTGACAAAAGTTGTCTTTCATATGGTCCACTGGGGTAAAGGCACCCAGGTGGTTCCACCACAGGATGAGATTGTACACCGTCCAGGTTTTAAAATACCTAGATGCGTGTACACTTCTCTCCTCGTAACCAATGTGTAGTTATCCGTTTATATGGTAGGTATATCATATCGCGACCGAGAAGTAATTTGGAAACCGCTTCAACACTACGGAATACCGCAAACCTCTATCAGCCTCATTCAACACCAGCTATATGAAGATGCCACATGCCAAGTAATTCACAATGGAAACCTCACTGATGCTGTCGAAGTGAAGACAGGAGTGAAACAAGGCTAAAACCTGCTATCACCCATGATATTCCTGATTGTAGTGGACTGAACTGGATCATGCAACAAATAGTGAGGAGCGAGAGGAGGGGGATACGCTGGCTGGACCGTGGAAAAGAACCTAGAAGACTTGGATTTCGCCAGTGATGACTTGTGTCTATGTCTTGTCGCATAAACTTGAAGATCTACGGGCGAAAACTAACAAGTTGACAGAAGAGGTGAGGAAGCGAAGATGGGACTTCAAGTGAATATAGAGAAGACAGAGGTGATGAAGATACCCAACCAACAACAACAACAGCAACAACAACAAACTCCAATCACCATCAATGGGGGAAACTTGAAGGAAGTAGCCTCCTTCATCCATCTAGGCAGCACTGTCTCAACTACAGGTGGCGGCACAAACGAAGACGTCAAAGCCAGCCAGGATCGGACAAGTGAGAAAGATTTTCATTAATCTGAAACCAGTGTAGAGATCTACTACACTCAGCATGTGGAACAAGATTCGGATTTTCAACATCAACGTCACATCAGTGCTTTTGTATGGTTGAGAGACTTGGTGCGTGACGAACAGCACTTCCAACAAACTACAGACATTCATCAACAACTGCCACCTACACTGGCTTGTTACTGAAGCTGAGATTGGTTGATAGAAAGAATACGGAACAAGGGACGCACTGTGGCTGGCTGGCTGGCTGGCTGGCAACGAACCAACCAAGAAGCTATCGCTCAATAAATATGCACTGGAACGAAGTAGAGATGGATTGGGCATACACTGAGAAGGTCGACTGGCGACATCTCGCGTCAGGTCAGGCCGGGTCAGGCCAGGCCGGGCACTCGAGTGGAACCCAGATGGGAAACGATGAGTTGGGCATCCCACCTGAGGGTGACATGGAGGAGATCGTGTGAGGAAGAGATGAGAGCTTGTGGATAGTCATGGAGTCATGTTGAAAAGGTTTCAGAGAACAGAGTGCAATGGAGATGTGCTACTGGAATCCTACGTTCCATTAGGAACCCAAGGGACAAATAAATAATATAAATATGAATAATATCATTCTGTCATTCAGATGAATTATGATTTTCTTTGTTCAATCATAACTCATGATTTACACTGTTAGTATCTTCAAAGTGATTAACAAGCATTTAACTTAAACTCTTCTGCTGCACACTCTCCAACTTGAGACAATTCCAAAAATATTAGCATATTACTTATAGAAAGTAATCTGTAAAAGGTTTTCTTTTATTAAGTTTACTATAAACTGCCTAGAGTAAGTACTGAAAATATTTCTTGTAGCAAATGCATCTGAATATCAGTTTCGTATACGATATTTTGTGTTAACTGACCTGTTCCTCTTATTTAGAACAGGAAACTAAACAAAATAAAATAATCCAGGAAAGAAATATAGTTTATATACCAGAGTTATTGACTCTACAATTAGTATGTCGAAAAACATTTCACAATCTTGACTGATGTTAATCGAGGAGGAAAAAATTGAGCACTGTAGTAGAATGTAACTCTATTTTAGTTGACTTAAAATGTATCACACATTACTATTTACTGGATTACGTTTCGCACATAATTTACTATTCATAGTCATATCAAGATAACTGCATAACTTTGAGACATGCTTTATATAGTTCAAATTTTGTCACCTCCTTTATGATGTAAGGTTGTAGGATTATCCATATATCCGGAACAGGTGCTGAGTCATTCCTGTTGCATGTGCTATGTGTTGATAAGATATGATAAACGAAGATTCGGTGATCAATCACACCCTCCACCCCCACTAGGTTTGGTTTTTAGGGATTTTACTCTGTCTTATCTTCATCTGTGGTTATGTGTAGTTGTGTGCTAGCCATAGTTGAATTTTCCTTTGGATTCCTTATCTTAAAAGGTCGAGAACGTTTCGCCTATCTAGGTTTTTGTGCTCCGATAGCTTAATTGACCCCGTTTGACTACTTTAACCTATTCATTTGATCTCGTAATCGCTGAAAGAAATTTTGATCAACTAAATTATTCTGCCTAGTTGGATCAGTAGGATGTTTAAACCTATAAAGCTTATTTTTAAGTGAGCATTTTGGTTTAAATGCCTCTCTAATCCTAGACTTATTGAGAATACTACACAATGTCTCTGAGATGCCTTCTTTGTATGGTAATACTGTAGAGGTTTTGAATCCTGTCTTCACAGTATTGCCACCATTATCAACATTACTACTACTTTTACTACATATTACTAATATTAGTCAACTGATGTTGTGGGTAAGCGTTTGTGAAATAGGAAAGTATAATACAATCATCAGTTCCTGGTTGGAAAGTCTTCAGCAGTGTTTCTTCCCTAATTCTTACAGCATTACAAGAGCAGTTTTTCTAGTGTTTGTGTATGGTAGCAGACAGTTTAGGTAGTATTTGCTTGGACCAATATAGCCACAAAAAGTGTCATTGTCTAAAGCTTGAGAAGTGTTTTCCTTAAACGTTGGAGGTCAATTAGCAGAAAGTCCTTAACCCAGGTTTCATACTTGTTAACATTTATCGAAAGGTATGCCTATAATCATGACCACGTTGTTGTTCCATCAGTGATTTGAAGGGTCAAGTCAAGAACTTTGCCACTACTATGTCCAGGTTGTGACTGACCCTCTGCTGAACTGGAGTGAATAACCGATATATTTGTGTACTGTCAAGTGCTGCCAACAAGCACGAAACCGACTTCCAGGGTTTCCTATCCGCTGATTCCCAACACATAACAGTGAGATGTGGCACACCAAAGTGTCGCTTTACTTAGCTAAGTCGTTATATTGCAGTGTTGATCAGTAGACTTTAATCACCACTTAGAACTAAAGAATAGACAGTTACATCGACCAGGTACTGGTGACCAATCCATATCCATATTGACTTTGACTTTAGGTAATGGGAATAGTAGACGAAACCACTAGTCACCATCTTGTTGTAAATGCTTTTATTGGATGTTAACAGCTCAGAATAACAAAAGTGGTATGGACTAGCAAATTTTAGGAATTGAAATATGGTTTATTCCACCAAAGTATATTCGTTGAGTAAATTTCATAAATTTTGAGTAATGATGAGATGTTTCATTTAATTTCTAAATGATTTACAGTTCTGCTTTAGTTAACCGTAATGTAATAGGTCTCAGATTTTGGAGTCCGTTGAGTAAACGTATTACCTTTTAAACAAATAGTTTTGACTTTAGCCGTATACGGATTCATTTAGCTCTACAGTCACTGATTGTAAGTTAGGTAGGCAAAATATGATGACTTACTTCTGTCAGTCAGCTTATATACAAAGATAACGTCAATTACCTTGATACCTACTCAATGAATCATTAATTTATTTCTTATTTCTTTATTTTTAATTGATTCATTTTAGATACTCATTCATCAAGTGAGAAATATTCATAATATGTCTAGTACAAAAAAATTGTATTGTACTGTAGAAGTGGATGGTATACCGGATCGAAAAAGAACTGAATCAGTTGAAGTCAATAAACCAGTGTAAGTAACAATTATGAATTTTGTTAACATTTCATTGTTATTATTTCATTCTTTTCTGTAATAAGACTATTGAATAATTAATTACAACTAGACTCAAGCTAAACGATACATGGAGACATCAAGAGTCCGACGTAAATTTATTTAGGTTTATTCTGGAGTTTTATTGTGAACAAGATATAATAACAAATAATAATCCAATGTTTTCGACATCAGTTTGATGTCGTATGGAGAACTATTTAGAACGTGAAAGCATCGGGAAGTTGTTTTTTTTCTAACATGGGACTGTTCAACATTGCGAACTCATAATCCATCAAGGAATCCAACTAATGACCAAAATGTCTCATGGCAGTCATCTTGCCATTCAACTAATGCGTTGAAATCTAGAGATTTGTGTTTCCCTACTATTTTTGATTCATGATTTATTGTGATCGTCATCCAGTGTCATCAATGAACGTTCGTTCCTCTGGATTGGTAGCAGTAAGGAACAGTAAACTATTGAATGGTAAGATAGTTGCATGCTAGCTGCGAGATGTCACCATTCTTGACTGAATCCTTTACAGGGTCTTTGGGGAACACTGTTTACGATTTCTAAACTAAAAGGAAACAGTTGTCTGACGCACTCAGATACTCAGTGTTTTTTTTAACTGATTTTGGTCTGTCATGAAGACTACTTGTTTATACTCGTCATTATATTGGATTGAATTGACCGACCTCTCTTGGTATACGGGCTCCTATGCGTATGCCTATTTATTTTCTGAATATTCATTGTTATAATTTACTTGATGATCGTGGCTAGCAGTGGAGTGTAGAATGCGAAAAGTAATATGCATCTGTTTGTTCATATATAACTAATGTGTTTTGACCACAATAACTATAATATTATTATTATAGTGACTATTTTATTGTCATTTTTAACACCTTCTGTTAAGACTGCGTTTTTAAAACCGATTGCCCCCAAATAAAAACTTTATCAACATCATTTGGATCGTTAGTATATCTCAACTATTTCTTCCCGTTGAAACTATCTAACAATGTAGTCAGTTAGTTTGTTCTAATACAGAGATGTATTTCTCATTTTATCGCATATTAGTTCTGTATTCACTCTAAACTCCTCGCAGCTGACGAGAATATATGAAATTCAGCTGATGTAAATTTAGTCTGCGGGTCCTGATGGAAGTGATCAAAAGAACAGGTCGTATAGAGCCCATCTTAACTGTCCATCACAGTAATTCTTTGTAAAGCACATTTCTGTTATTATGATTAATGTTTTGCACTTCTGTAGGCTTGCACTTTGGTGACTATTCTCATACAACTTCAGTTGTCACTTCCATATGGCACATGGCCTTCACCGATATCAATTCAGTTTTATTGTGGTTTAAACTGATGTTGTTTCGCTAAGGGGCGTATATTCACGGCATTTATGTACAAATTATTATTATTTGTCCCTTAGGTTCCTAATGGAACGTAGGATTCCAGTAGCACATCTCCATTGCACTCTGTTCTCTGAAACCTTTTCAACATGACTCCATGACTGTCCACAAGCTCTCATCTCTTCCTCACACGATCTCCTCCATGTCACCCTCAGGTGGGATGCCCAACTCATCGTTTCCCATCTGGGTTCCACTCGAGTGCCTGGCCTGGCCTGACCCGGCCTGACCTGACGCGTGATGTCCCCAGTCGGCCTTCTCAGTGTATGCCCAATCCATCTCTACTTCGTTCCAGTGCATATTTATTGAGCGATAGCTTCTTGGTTGGTTCGTTGCCAGCCAGCCAGCCAGCCAGCCAGCCAGCCAGCCAGCCAGCCAGCCAGCCAGCCAGCCAGCCAGCCAGCCAGCCAGCCAGCCAGCCAGCCAGCCAGCCAGCCAGCCAGCCAGCCAGCCAGCCAGCCAGCCAGCCAGCCAGCCAGCCAGCCAGCCAGCCAGTCAGCCAGTCAGCCAGCCACAGTGCGTCCCTTGTTCCGTATTCTTTCTATCAACCAATCTCAGCTTCAGTAACAAGCCAGTGTAGGTGGCAGTTGTTGATGAATGTCTGTAGTTTGTTGGAAGTGCTGTTCGTCACGCACCAAGTCTCTCAACCATACAAAAGCACTGATGTGACGTTGATGTTGAAAATCCGAATCTTGTTCCACATGCTGAGTGTAGTAGATCTCTACACTGGTTTCAGATTAATGAAAATCTTTCTCACTTGTCCGATCCTGGCTGGCTTTGACGTCTTCGTTTGTGCCGCCACCTGTAGTTGAGACAGTGCTGCCTAGATGGATGAAGGAGGCTACTTCCTTCAAGTTTCCCCCATTGATGGTGATTGGAGTTTGTTGTTGTTGCTGTTGTTGTTGTTGGTTGGGTATCTTCATCACCTCTGTCTTCTCTATATTCACTTGAAGTCCCATCTTCGCTTCCTCACCTCTTCTGTCAACTTGTTAGTTGTCTTCACTTCGACAGCATCAGTGAGGTTTCCATTGTGAATTACTTGGCATGTGGCATCTTCATATAGCTGGTGTTGAATGAGGCTGATAGAGGTTTTGCGGTATTTCGTAGTGTTGAAGCGGTTTCCAAATTACTTCTCTGTCGAATGTATATATAAAAGGTTCTACCTAATGTGATCGTGAACTTCTTGTAGAGTGAATTTTTGACGCAGAATAAACGAAAAAAAGAATATTGACTAGAGCTATCAACTATTACAAGCTGTAATAGAAATAACGTATCACGAAAGAGCATAACTGCTTCAAACATCTCTCATACTTGCATACACATACTGTTAGTTATCTGTTATAACGTGTTAACCTGAAACGTAAATGGTTAGTTTAACTATATTGCATGTTACAATAAACTCATAGTAAGAACTAGCTACGAATTCTACTGGTCAAACAACTTTTTATAGTATTTTTCCTCCAAATAGAACTTTTTTTTCTGGAGAAAAATATTTTCTTGTGTTTATTTTTGATACATTTTAAAGTATTGTTTACCATGAAGATGTTTAATATGAGCAGGTTATAATTATAACATATTGAAAAGTTAAGCGAGTAGCAAACAGATATTGATTATCTTTCTCCAACTCCATGTTAGTCTTTCACTTATCAACCTTATTTTTCTGTTTTCTGTCAAAACAAACATAACTCTACTGATTGAACGAAGTATACTGAAATGTTACAAAATAAGACTTGATTACATTATATATCCGTTCAATCTAATACACTATATCTCAGTTTTGTAAAAAGGAAATCAAATGTTGAATTCATCTATGCATGATGTAAGAAATGAACTTAGCTAGGAGATGAGTTGTGATCAGTAGAAATATTCGGCCAGTTACCTTAACGAAATTTCTTCGGTATATTCACTTAATACTCATATTTTGCCCATGTATCTAGCTTCGTTTTTAAGTCACCCAAAGAAATAATGAAATAGAAGAAACAAATTTATTTTACGATAAAAAAAACCTTTGTAATCAAAACAACAAGAAAACCTGATTGATTACTTAAGCTGTTTGTAGGTTGATCATCAAAGTTATTATATGTAAATCAACAGGTATGCTTATATATCTAATTTAACTAACCAGTTGTTCATTATGTGCTACGGTAGCATGTATCATTAAAATTCTTTTGGTTATTACTGCATAGACTACTTTCTGATTGAGTTACCTGTATGCTTAACTTATGCATAATTACAATTCCTGATTAGAATATCAGATATAATTGTGGTTTAGTAGACTGGTATTATTGACATGAGGTGACTGATTGAAAATGCAATAAAATCTATGTCGAGTGGGATTCAAACCAGCAACCTTTAAATCCTGTAGTGACACATTTAATCAACAGTACATGAATAATATAAGAGGATAGTATATTCAGGAGTTAAAGTAACATTAGAAGAAGAAACAGCCTAACAGACGTGACCTACTCATCACCTTTAATTCTATCGTCACTTATTTGAGGTATCATCACACTATCCTAAATCGTTAACATTCAGTTTCCGATCGAAAAATTAATATTTTTAATTATAACTACCATAAGAAAACTGGTTAGTGCTGACAGTAATCATTTATTGGAGAATGATACAAAATACTGGGAACATATTATAGCTTAGCATACTCAAACTATTTCTATATTCCACATTTGACAGGAATTGCTAATCAGTTTTCTTGGCTTCTTTACTTGGCATTTTTAAGATTTACCTTTGATGTTTCTCGTTTCTTTATGTCTCATAATCTTTATTGTCTAAATATCAACTCTAATTAGCTTTCCTATTGGTCTTATATTATATACTACTGTTATCCTATGCTTGTGATATCGTCCAATAATAGTTCCAATAAAAGAGAAAGGTAGCGCTTAACTATTTAACCACAGTTATTACTAGCAGGAATTTAATAATAACTTTTTTTTGAGATGAATGGCGATTTTTAATTTAGATGTAGTATTCATCATACTCCCAGATTTTCAATCATTCCCCAACTGATTTCAGTCCATGATGAATACTACTTCTAAAATAAATTATTAGTTTAAGGTTAGTGATGCATTTATTTCCAGACTCACTTGAGGCAGCATACGGGGAAACATTGGAATGAGACATCAAGTATTATAGCTTTGTATTTATGGTGTGGTTTGTTATTATTATTTGTCCTTTGGGCTCCTGGTGGAACATAGGGATTCAGTAGTACGTTTTTACTGCACCCTCTTCTCTGCAGTCTTTTGAACCTGGCTCCATGACTGCCCACAAGATTTCGTGTCTTCCTCACAAAATCTCCTCCATATCACCCTCGCCACAGACGCCCAAATCGTCGTTTCCCCTTTGGATTCCACTCGAGAGCCTGGCCTGGCACGTGATGTCCCCAAATGGTCTTCTCAGTGTATACCAAACCTAATCCATCTCCACTTTCCTCTGCATATTTGTTGGGCGTTAGGTCCGTGGTTGGTTCGTTGCAAGTCAGCCAGCCAGAGTTCCTTGTTGCTTATTCTTATTATTCTGGCCATCTGATCTTCAGTAACGAGCCAGCGTAGGTGGCAGTTGTTGATGAATGTCTGTAGTTTGTTGGAAGTGCTGTTCGTGACGCACCAAGTCTCTCAGCCATCCCATAGAAGCATTAACTTACTTGGCTGGCTTAGTGTTGGAAATCCAGGTCTTATTCTTTATGCTGAGTGGAGTCCAGAAGATCTCCACACTGGTTTCAGGTTAATGAAAGAACGCCTGTCTTGGTGTCTTGCTGTGTTTCCAATCCTGGCTTTGACGTCATCATCTTTGCCTGTGCTGCCTGCAGCTGAGACGACGCTGCCTAGGTGGGTGAAAGAGACTACTTCCTTTAGGTTTCTTTTGTTGATGGTGATCGGTGCGTTTTGTTGTTGTTGTTGTTGGTTGGGTATCTTCATCACTTCTGTCTTCTATATATTCACTTTAAGTCCTGTTTTCACTGCCTTTCCTGTCAACTTGTTAGTTTTCAAAGCAACTGGTCCCTTTGATAAATTTAAACAGCGTAATGAGAAGACGAAGATTATCTGAAATATGTGATGTATTAGCGCTATACATTTCGAACAATATGATCACACATGGACCTGTTGAACTATTTGTGTGAAAATTTACGAAAAAGGTCGATGAAGTTAGTAGGAAACATAGGAATAGGAAGGGATAGAAAAAAAAGGAGAACCTTACTCTTGGTGTGAAAATTAAAATCAATAGTACTAAGGTAGGTTCAACATGAGTACGAATTATTTTTGTATACATAAAGGGGGTTTAAATCTACGGATGGCAAGAGCTTCAATAAATTTAAGCACTCGGCTCTGACCACTTTTATGTAGTACTTTAAAGGCTGTTTTCATGTCTATCCTATGGTTAGTTTCTAGTCTATGTTCAGCGATAGACGAAGATGTGTGTTTGTCACCTGCGCTTATTGGATCTGTTGAGGTCATTTGTTTTTTTGTAGCCACTTAGGTACATGTTCAACCTTCCTTAACTGCATATCACGATTACTCCTCCCTATATATGTGTGTCCACACATACATGTAAATTGATAAACGCAGTGGGATGTGATGTAATCGTTTATATGTTGTTTCGGTTTGTGCTGTAACATGGACTTGGTCTTCTCTACAATGATGACCTTAGCTGCATGACATGTTTTACAGATGGCCGATCTAAGTCTTTTCCTCACAACAAAGCTATGTGAATCACCTCTAAATGGTAATGAGATGTAGACATTTTTCTTAGCAACGGAACACTGTGTTCTTTTTAATGGTACATAACTTTTGCACCTGTCGATAAATCTCAACGGGCATCCATTCTATGTCAGTGTTGTCGTCAGTAAGTTGGTTTCTTCCTCCCTGGTGTCATCAGTGCAGCTACGGTTTATCCTGTTGAATAAGCATCTGACTGCACGTTTATATTGGACTGGGCAATATTGTCCTGTCCATGTAGGTTTCTTATAGATCGACCTTCTGATCGAGCCATCCTCCCGTCGACTGAGCATTACGTCTAGGAACGGTAGCTGATTGTTCGTCTCTTGTTCACAAGTCAGGCTAATGTGATTTTGAGCCGTGTTCATTTTCTGTAGCAGGCACATTGCATCATCAGGCTATTCACATATAATGACTATATCATCAACATATCTCTTATAAATTGAAACCCTTCCGATGAGATCGTCAGCCATGTTTTAAATATATGACATGTATACATCAGCTAGCAACGGTCCTAATGGACTACCTATCGTGACACCATCAATCTGTTGAAAGTGTTCGCCCTCTAATTGTTAGTTTTCGCCAGTAGATTTTCGAGATAGTGTGACATTAGACATAAATCATCATCAGCGAAATCCAAATCTTCTAGGCTCTTTTCATCGGTCCAGCGTAGAAATTAAGAAGTGTTATAAATACAATATCACTACTCATATTTTTAATTCATACACAAATTTTTATGGTAAACCAGGGTATTTTCTAATAATGCTTTTGTTTATTCTACCTGGATACAATAATTTCAGATTTCTTTAGTTGAATTATTAAAAAAGTAAGGATTTATCAGAAGTAAGTACTCTTTTGAGAAAATTGGACGCTGTAGGAAATAATCGATACAAAATTTTCATATTACCAAATAATCTCAAAAATTCTTTTTTTTGATGAAACAGTCAAAATGCTGTCGCAGATATTTCGTGTACAGTCGTCTCTGTTTATTATCAGACATCAGTGTTTGAATTGTGTAAAAGATTCAAGTAATGATTGGGTCAAAGCATACTTTATTAGTGAGGGATATGAACTATGTTTAGTAATGATGGGCAGTGGCTATTAAACATAGTTAAAAGACAGGCAATATCGAGGCATCCGCATAGGAGCCCATATGCCAACAGAGACTGATCAATTCGGTCCGATCAACGACGGTGTAATACAAGCAATAACACTAGGAATATGAACTGTTCGAATTTTCATTGATGACAGACAGAAGACGACTTCAAATGTTTTACTTTCGTCTAAAGTCTGCGGTTTCCGACAGATCCCGATATACGTGTTTATGTTTAACTTATAATCGAGCAGTGCTTGAATATTAAAAGTGGTTGCCAAAGGTTAATCAACTTGAAGCCCAACTCAGAGATAGCCGAGAGCTCCATTCATTCAATGATTATTCACAAACTGAGTAAGGAAGCGTGTGTAGCTACTAACCGTGCAATGAGTGGTAATGGTATGTCAAAACCATTTTCAGCTTGTTGGCTTTATGGTAGCTGATACTTTGTGAGATTTTATTCATTTAAGTACCATCTGTGTAAAAAGTGTTTTCTAAGAGGTCATAAAGAGGATCACTGCAAAGATAAACGTCAAAATCAACCACAGCTGCATTGTGAAGGATGTAAGCATAGAAACTTCAAATCCAATGCACTGTTACCATCACCTACAAGCGGACTACTGTCACGTCAAAAATGTATATCCTTAAAAAGCAATGGATAGCAGATTCTTTTGCAGCTTGTAACAGCCTTAAGTACAACACTTATCAGCAAACAAACATGACAGCTAATAAGCCAATGAAATGTTCACCCATCTTCTCAGGCCATCAAACACCCAACTGTACATTGTTGGAGAAGTTTTTTTCAATTTTGTGTGTAGTAGTGTGATATGTAATGGGGTATTGTACCTGACAGACCAACTGCCTTGAGATCTTCTTGTTTTAGACTGGACAGAGAAACTGAAGTCGCTCAGAAAACCGCTAATTATTATCTACAACCAGAATCAAGTTGTGAAGCAACTGAAACCCGTTAGATCATTTATTCAAATGAAACTAACGGAGCACTGGGACTAGAACACACCACAGCATTACATGATGGCTTTGATGAATTCACAAAATCCAAAAGCATCTTCTTACTCCATTCAGAGGCAAATCCTGTGTTTTGACCAAAAAGACTAGTACCGTATGCTACCTTACCCATCGTGGAACAAGAACTCTACCATCTTGTACCAAAAAGTATGATTGAACTAGTAGATTTTTCATCATGCACAGCTCCAGCAATTGTTGTGAAAAGGGTAGATGGCACAATACGCCTAACTGATTGAGGCTCCTGAAAATCATCAGTATCCAATGCTAGTACCTGTAGACCTACTTAAAAAACTGAATGGTGGCTGGCTATGTATGAATTCAGGTAGCAGAGAGGAATCCAAGGAACGTCTGACCATCAAGCGGCTGTTTAGATATAATCGTCTCCGTTTCGGTATGAAAACAGCTCCAGCTGTATCCCAACAAATAATGGATACGATGCTGCATAATGTACCAGGCTCAGCAGTGCACTTAGGTGACTTAATTGTAATGAGAAAAAGCAAAGAAGATTTAATACACAAACTTGACCTAGTTTTGGAGTGTATCGGGTAATATAGGTTCCAGTTTCGATCAGATAAATGCGACTTTTATGCCAAAAAAGTTAACTATCTTCGTTTCACTGTGGACAGAAACAGAAGTACCTCGGATCCAACCAAATTTCATGCCATGAAATATATACCACATCCAAAAGATTTCACAACCATACGTCCATTCTTGGGTCTAGTAAGTCATTATAGCGCATTCATACGCGATCCTCATCAACCTCTCGGCCTTTTGAATGTATTATTGACGAGGAAAACAAACTGGAATTGGTCAGTTAACTTTGATGAAACTAAAAGGCAACTGACGTCAAGACTGCACCTCACCCACTACAACCTGTTACTACCCAATTTTGTTGTATTTGATGCTTCAGATTATGGTATTGATGCGCTATTACCACTTATTTTCACAGGCGTTTCCAAAATATTTGTCTCTCATGCCTCACTGTCATTAAAGTCCACAGAACGCAATTTCAGTCGGATTGGAATTAAAGTATTATCTTTACTGTCAAAAAGTTTCATAAATATGGACGACAGTTCACCTTATCGACCAACCACAAACATTTGACTATCACTTCGCAGAGTATTGACACTGTTCCAGAAGAGCAAAATTGTCATACAATGTTTAGATCACCTTGATTCTGTTGGTGAAATCTACAGATCAGCATACTCGGTTTCTAATAACAGTGCTGTCGAGTTAAAAACTTTAACACGTTTATTTGAAGTGGCTATTTAAATAATGGGTGCTTGTGATAACCTTTCATTTGTTGTGATTTATATTTCAATACACCTTTTCCATCTTTAAAAACAACTATAGGTGGGATACCACTGCAGAATTTCAAACATCTCAGCCACTCCCAGTCGTTAAAGTGAAAGTTTTCAAAGAATGCTCAGGACCGTTGACACTCGATGATAAAGAACTTGGCCGAGTAAGTTTATGATGAATGTAGAAAGACAACTACAATGGGTTATATATATATATATATATATATATATATATATATATATATATATATATATATATATATATATATATAATGATCACATTTGATATGCTTTGACTTTTATTTAGGACATACGTGTGAATATCAAAATCCGTATTCATGCGATTAGTACTGACCAGTCAGATTCACAACCCACCCGTAGTCAAAAACATGCGTATTTAAAAACTTTATTGATCCGTAAAGTGCAAACCCAAGTCCAACCGTACAAAGTTAAGTGTCAAGATCTATACGTGAGTAGACGATAGGTCTGTTATGATTCGTTCAGCTTTCACGATTAACAGAATCTAGGTAAAAATTTGGGTGACTTTAAAGGCCACCCTAGCAACTGATGAGATGGCCAATTACATTCCTCTATTTTATGGGAAAGCACTTTCCCAGGCGAAATACCAAAGTCTGATTGGTCATTCCATACACTGTCTTATCTTTGATATTTATGTCATTTATATAGTCAATACATATTCCATGCATTAACAATACTACGGAATAGAAATGTTAGTCATTCTTGAACCTGATAAGGGATCTATCATAATTGTTTTGAATATGCAGAATTATAAAGACAAAATGCTGTCCATTCTAAATAACAAAAGCAAATTCATGCATGGAAGACATCAGAAAATTAGAAAGAAAAGTGATTGCAAGTTTGGTAAAACTCTTTAACACATGAATATCGTTAGCAAAGAGAAATTTCATTCTTTAAAACCTGTAAGGTTTGAACACTCAAAGTTATATGATCTACTCGAGATACATAAAGCGAATATCTCATTACGCCCAATACTATCGATGTGCTGCTCCCCAAAGCATAAATTGGCAAAATAGCTAGCTCAAATGTTAAGTACAGTTAGAAACCAATTATATAAGTTTGCATTAAAAGATGCTTTTGAACTTATCGACTATATAAATGACACTAGTATCAAAGATAAGACGATGTATTCTTTTGATGTGAAGTCTTTATTCACCAACGTGCCTTTAACCAAGACTGTTGATATTCTTTGTTATACATCCCTGGGTATTCTTTGTTTCTTCATCCCTCCAAAATATTTGAAAGAGCTATTACTACTATGCACTGATAAGTTACGCATCACTTTCGAAGGTAAACATTTTCGACAAGTTGTTGGTGTCGCTATGGGCAGTCTTTTAGGACGATTAATAGCTTATGTCTACACGTCACTTGTCAAACTTTTGGCTAAGGATATTATAAGTAAAGTCCCTCTGTACAGGAGATACGTTGGTGATACCTTAGTTATGTGTAAAAAACGTGAAGATGCGAAATGTCTTCCAGATCGACTTAACACTGTACAACCCCATATTAGTTTATCATGTGAAGCAGAAAATAATGATCAGCTTCATTTTCTTAACGCGTTATTAACTAGAAGGGAAGATGGATCGATAAAACGATCAATGTATAGAAAACCTACGTGGACTGGATAGTACCTTAACTTTCATAGTTTCTGTCCAATACAGTACAAACGAGGTTCAGTAGAATGCTTATTTTAAAAGAACCCAACGTATCTGCACAACAGATACACTGGAAGAAGAATTCAAATTTTTAACTGAGACACTCATGGGAAATAAATATCCTTTGAAGTTCATCAGTCATTATAAAAACGTTTCAACAGTAGGAACTAATCAGTATTCTGTCCCGAAGAAGGATATTTACACTACGCTATCGTATAAGGTGCTGAATCATTTCTGCTGCACGCATAAGTTGTTGATTCAATAAACAAAGATTCTCTCCCTCCACCCTGTTATGTTAGTTTTAAGAATTTTCACCCTCTCCCATCCTATTGTGTGGTTGTGTGTAATCGCATGCATAGCTTTGGATGAGCTTTTTCTGAATTCCGTACCTTACTAGGATCTACCAATTTTGACCTATCTAGGTTTTTGTCTTCGGATAGCCTAATTGACCCTGATCGACTACTTTGACCCGTGCAACGATTGCAAGATCAAATACATACATTGGAAATAAAATTTTTTCTTTCTCTCAAACCACGTTTTGTCTTTTCCTATGATCAGATGGTTGTATTCCGCCTTTTAAAAATGGAATTACATTCTACCATAGTGCACAAGTTTTACTCTTATAGTATGATTTTCGGACGAAGACTTAATTCAGGTAGTAAAAAGACATACTACGCAGCCAAACTCAATATTATCGAGAAAACGAAACCTACGCTTCAAAATAAACTTCATCACTCCATAAATGATTACGTCACATCCCGCTGTGTATACCGATTCAGATGTGTGTGCGGTGACACATACATTGGGAGGAGTAATCAAACTGTGAAATCAAGGGTGGTGGAGCATATCCTTAAATGATTCGTAAAATAATAATATTCAAATAATCGGATAAATAAAGGGGGCAGACAGACGTCATTGTCAACACATTATAGAAACAGGTTACAGGATTGACCCCATAACAGCCTTTAGATCATTGTATAGGAGTCGTCAAGATCACATACTTAGGTTCATTGAAACCTTAGCTATACGAAAGTTCGAACCCCTTTGTGTATTCAAAAACAGTTTGTCCTCATTTTAAGCCTACCTTGATAATTTTTATCTTATTTTAATGTCAAGCGAGGCTGATATAACACTCATATTAGTCGGCTAAGGTGATCTTACCTTATATTAAAATAACCTGTGTATCAATAAATTATCGCTTGAAATCCATGGCATGGCTCTGTTTCTCTGAAAACTAATATCATTACAAGATCTCATCGAGTAGTAGCAAAGTTAGCAAATAACGAATAGATGGGGCAGGTATTATGAAGAAGTGAATAAGAAACACTTGACTAATCTTGAGATTAAATAGGAGTTATAATAATTCGGTTGATTGTGGCTAGCAGAAGAACCCAGGATGCGCGTTTCGTCCTATTTGGGACTCGTCAGCTGGACATACCTGCACCCCAGTGGTTTTGTTCCTACTGAGACTCGAACCTCGTACCCATCGCTTCAAATGCCAAGGCACTCTCCACTATGCAACAGAGGAACGACAGCCACTTCTTGTACAACGGGTGATAGTTATTACTACTTATTGACATACTTGTTATTCTCCGTTGTTTCGTTGGATTGAATTGTTCGACCTCTATTTGCATATGGGCTCCTATGTGGATGCCTTGATATTGCCTGGATGTTGATTATGATAATTTGGTTGTCAATAAATAGTAATAACTGTCACTCGTTGTACAAGAAATGGCCATCGTTCCTCTGTGGCATAAAGGATAACGCCTTGGCGTTTGGAGCGATGGGTACGAGGTTCGAGTCTCAGTGGGAACAACATCACTCACCGAGGTGCAGGTTCATCCGGCTGAAGAAACCCAAATAGGACGAAACGCGCATCCTCGATTCTTCTGCTAGCCACAACCAACCAATTTATCATAATTAACATTCAGGCAATATCGAGGTATCCGCATAGGAGCCCATATACCAATAGAGGTCGAACAATTCCATCCAACAAAACAACGGAGAATAACAAGTGTGTCAATAAATAGTTGTTTTGCGCTGATCATCAGAATGGCAAACATAATTGTTTCGTTATCATTTATCATCCATAATTATTACCATAATTTTCGGTTTTGTTTACTTTTTCTACAAATTGATTTGTCAATAAAACAATAACAACACAAACAGGTTACTTTTAATATGACTTGGTCTAATCCACGTTCCCCTCTTTGGTATAAACTCCAAACTACCAAACATTGTCATGACCCATTGGAATTACAAATTTCGGCGTCTATGCAACGTCCAGCTAATTGTAAATATGGTAATTATTGTTGGGTTCAGGGGCGTTCAACATTTAAAAAGTGGAAACGGCGTTATATATGTATCATACAAGTGAGTAGCATGTAGCCTTTTTTTAAATTGACGTTTCTAGCATTGAAATTTACTACTCATTCCTCTTATTTCGACAAATTTCACTGACAATTTGGTGACATAATTAGTTTGTCTGTCATGCAGGTGAGCGTGCGAAACTTATTTTTTAGTTCAACAACAAAAGGGTCAGAGATCAGGCAGAAGAACAACCAACAAGAAAATCTATGCAGTCAATGATACAACGATCAAAGGAAACAACCAATCACAAACCAATTCGTCAGGACAAGCTACTGAATCACTTACGGAGAGATAATGAAGGATCACTTCATATCAAATTTAGTGGTAATGATATTGTCTAAAAAGACAATGAAAGATTCGAGATTAAACCACCCAGCTCACAGAGCACAACACATTCAATACGGTTTATTTAATTTTAAATCTTGTCATAACTTTTTACTGTTATCAGTTTCTAGAATTGGATCATACACTCATCTAGTGGTACCTGACATATTAGGATGTTTTGCTGAGTATTTCTTCGTTCATATGGATGCCTTCCTTCATATCTTAGTGCAGATATCTACTCACTGAATATTGATTCCAGTCGTATTATTGACAACAAGGGTAGAATATCTATAATGAATTCTATCGTCAGTATCCAAAAGATTTGTTTGAGAGGGGTTCTATCATTGAGTGAAATTGATATGCACCTTAAAGAATAAAGAAAAGTAACTCTTCGGTAAAGGAATACAACTGAGGAGTAAAATACTAATAACTGAGAAATTAGGGCAAAGGAAAGGAATAGTTTAGTTAGATGGTTACTGTAGTCCACTTCAGAAGATTAAAACAGTCTTTTCATCATTTCATACACTGATAAGAACTAATAGTTTGCACGAAGTATATTTTTTTCAATAAATTCTCTTGAGGTTCTACGATTTGTAAAATCCATTTGTACGGCGTGAAATAAAGCTAAGTTAGAGGAAATTACATTTTCAAAATGAAGTGAAATTTAGAGACTGCAAAGAAATTAATTTATCTTTTTTCAGTCAGTCAATATTGGGATGAAACATACAGATGAATGATATGATAGTGAACAAAAAGAACGAATAAAAAGCGAGAAGTTGCCTTAAGTTTACTGATGGTCAAGGGAGAGGTAACGCTTGGAGATACTCTTTCTGAATAGATAGTTCAGTCTTGATCAATCTTATTCAGACAGCCTCCGCTAAGTTGAGCAGGCGTTGGCGAGCTACATATGGTATCGTTTTGAAATACGATGAATGCCATTCAAAGCGTTATTAGCATTTGTGTGATATCCTGTGTCAACTAGGTGTGTTAGGATTGAACTTTTCACCATTTTCACTTCTTTCTTTCCGAACCAAGCTGATAAATGCTCATATACTGTATTGGTGTAAAAATGTGTTAACTTATTAGAAGATCTGAATTCAAATGTCTTCATTCATAATTTGTTAGGAGTAATCACTTTTCTGTAGTTAACCTGAAGAACAGTTCTTTCTACCTCACACTAGATTGGTGGTTCAGTTACCTACTTTCGGTCAATATTCTGTTACAACAGACCCACCATACTTGACCAGGAACCATTCACAATCCAAACTGAATTAAATCGAAAGACTGAGCTGAAAGTCCACTAACCGACTATATTCTCCATAATGCTTAGATCCAAGAACCGTTCAGGAATGGGAACCACAACTAGGTAACAAAAATGAATTAAGGCAGTCATTTACATACATAAGTATGGACAACGTAAACAGTCATCATCTGACATTAAAATATCAAGCAGTTGGCTACGGGTAATATAGAGGTTAGCAACTAGCCAATAAATTTTTGCCAACAAAAGTAAGACTACAGTATCTATAGGTGAACGCCGTGAATTTAATAACACCTCCTCTATACAACGGACTGAACATTTATTTTCTCAGGTCTATTTTCAATCCCATTGAATATTCCGATTTGCTTTATGAATAAGCACTGTTCGAATCTCACTAACTTTACTCAGTTCATTTGGTTAAATAGTGTGTTCGAATTAAAACTTTGATAGTTCTACTGTGTTTTTCCACCAAAAAAGTGTCTAGGAGTTCAACTTCGATGAGTTATTACCTAACTTACCATTTTGATGAAGTCCATCTTCTGTCTGCTGGACTAATCTGCCTATGTTGATTAGCTGGAAAATAAGTTTAATATTGATATTTTAGTCAACATATAGCAAACTTTAATGCCTAGTATACTTATTTTGGTAATAACACTGATAATGACAGTGAAATGGTTATTATTATTGCAAAGCTGTAAACGCTTCCTTTTTTAATTGTAAATATTGAAAAAATATTTGTTTTCATGAGCTAGTGTTCTACAATGTATCTGATGAAGTGAAGCAAACCTTTTCACAATACCTAAAGTCAGATATTATTGAGAAAATGGTTTGTTTATTACTGAACAAAACTGTAGAATAACCATGGGAATTAGTGACTAAACTGAAGAAATAGACTACGTATTCTCATTTACAACCGAGTTCAATGAATTATCTCTAAAGAGACTGCTACTGCCTTGACGTGGTGACTGGGCTTGTACATCACAATGACCCAAAAAGTTATGCTGGTGGAACGCTTGTTGCCTAGAGATCTTACCGTACCAGAAAGATCTGTTGGATAGTCTTTAAAAAAAAGCAGTTAACACCATAGCGTAAATTGCTAGACTATGATGGAGGTTTGAGAGTACAGTCATACTGCTCCTGGCTAGATAGGGGTGTGATGGTAGTAAGGTGTTTTCCTTGGATGACCAGCAGTGCTATGCTGATACTGCCTTCTCAAAGGTAAGGGGAGGGTTAGAAAAGGTCGACCCCGAAACTAACACACTCCCATCCATCGTCGCATCCCAATGTCTGCAACAGGGATGCATAGTCGGATTCCAAAATAAAAACCAAAATCTCAAATTTACGAATAGGGCGTATGTGACTGATCTCAAGCAGATGACTAGTGTGCCCTGAGGTCACACTGATTTTTTTCTCTCCCTGGTACCTTACGAAGAACTAGCCTTCCATAGTGTGGGCATCCAGGGAGTGTCAACCACCCACACGCTTCCAATAGTACACATTTATCTTTAAAAGAGGCTGTGCCACTGGATATCCACTTGGTATGTAACATCCTGTTGATGTATGGAATATAGTTGCATGAGAGATAAGTCATACTTTAAGAGATATGAAGTAAAATATTTTGATCTATACTGTTAAAAAGTCCGAATTCAGTCAGTTCATTTTTATCAAAGGTTACACAATAGGTGACCTGCATATGAGACAGTTACTTGACAAGACACATAATAGTTTCTTCAGGTTTAGCTATGCGTTATAGTTACTTAACCTGTTTGTGAAAAAAGAGTTAAATATCTACGAGATCTGGGATCGACAGCTCTTTACAAATTATACCGACCAACATTCAGTAAAGCTACTTAAATATCAGCAAGCTCTAATGCTCATCAGATCACTTTTCATCAAACTGTAGTTATGAGTAGACAATAAAAATTATAAACACATTACCAATGTTCCTATATGATATAAACATACGAATATACATATGGAATCGTATTGACATATCGTTATATTTATCTATTTATCTAACTTGAAAAGTAAACATCAGTCTATAAACAGGTATGTCTTATTATTATTATCTAATTACCTACCTGACTGCCATTGGATTGTCGAAATTTATGTTAGAAATGGATACAACAATCCTATTGATGTCTTCTTTTTAGATCATAACAAGAGATACAAACAACTAAGCGAGGGAATAAAAAATAAATGTAGGGATTTTCATGATTTTTTTCAACTACTGTTATAATTATTATTATTATTATAACGATTATTGTTACTATGATTGGTATAACCACTGCTTATGGAATTGCTAAACAGGACTGATTTCAATAACAATAAAATGTGTTTTTGCATATTTTATTCACTAATTTTAAGTTTTTTTCGATGGTAGCATCAATCACTATCGTTACTACTATTTTCATTATTATGTTCGTGATTGGTTTGAATGGTTAACAGAAATAAACAAAACTACAATTATAAGCAAGTATATCTTCTCAAGGTAAACGTGAACTCAGAGGAAAACATCTAGAAATAGTATGAAATTATAAGGCTACAAAAAACCGATAACAAAAAGGCGCTTCTGATAAGATTTGAATACATTTAAGTTGAAAACTACTAGAAGGATCATACGTGAACACTGCTGAAAAGTCTGGGTTTAGGGTGAACAAGTTATATGACATCTGGTGGTTTCGGGCTCTTAATCAATATTCGTTTATTCATATTGAAGACTGCTTTCTACTGACTTTATCCGCTTCTTTTTATTTCTTATTGGATAGTTACAATTTAATAATCATTTTATTATAAAAATGACGTTATATACATTACCCTATACTAAACAACAAATATGGGAATGTAAGTCTGAAGCATAAACAGAAATGTTACAGGGTAATAAAAAGTGTAATTGTACACATTTTTCAGGCTACTCTATACTGAAAATAGTGCTGAAACCTAGGGTTAGTTGAACAGTGATATCAAAAGTTCAGCTTTCAGAAAGATAGATATTCTACTTCTCAGTTCTTTTTAGGATCACTTTACAAGTGTCAGATATCTTTGCTGAGGTTGAATAACGAGAAGCTATTGCCTGTGTTCAGCACGTTAGGTATTCAGTTTAAGAGGGAGAATATTAGTAACTCGACAAAATTTTGAATGCATGTTTCATGTGTATTCTCAGTTTACAGATAGTTGATGAAATGGCTTCAAATTAATAACGATGGCGTATGTGCATTTATTTGATGTTTCCGTTAGTTTATAACTATCAACTCATGTCATATGCTTCTTGAGTTCCAATCGTCAATGTTCCTATAAAGTTTTCTCACTTTAACGGAGATATTTGTATGCAGATTCTATGCTACTTCTTCGATCTTTACGTGGATTTTATAAAAAGTGAATGAACATCTTAGGAGCAGAATGAAGTGAAAAAGTTGAT